CATTGTTAAATAGAGATTCTAATTGTGTACTGATCTTGAACGTAATGGCTGCTAATTTATAACGTGCAGAACAATACCTGGATCTTTGAATTTTTGTAACAAACATAACGTCTAAATTTACTAAATATCAAGTAGTGTGCAGGTGAAGTGAAACGCATTGCATGATGGGGGACGATCCAGGCCTCGTTATACCCAATATCAGTAGTCCAGTAAAAACACGAAAAGCCCCAATCTCACTGAGCAATAATTATAGAATAGAATAAAAAATATTTTTCTATTCTAAAATTAATGATCGGGTAAACCGTTATTTTACTAGACTACAGGTTCACTCGGCACTAACAGCATAAATAGACGGGCAAATCAAGTGGATAAACAAATCGTTTAAACTGTTAAAAGGGAAATCAGGGTTAATACTGCGATATTTTAAAGCACGTTTTTGTAACTTTTTGTTTCTTGTGTTACTAATTTAAAGCAGATTGATTAACATACGCCATTTTATAATGAACGTTAGATGTACCCCTTCGATTTATGATTGTACCTCTAAAGGTACATGTATCCCCAGGAGAACCATTGTTTTAAATCATTTATATGCTTTGTGATATAAAGATTGTTTATAAATAATTAATAAAAATGTTTTAAAAATTTAACCATTTATCTATTTGTAATAAAATTAGTTTTATTAAATTATTATATTTAATTGTTCTTGTTAAATAATTTTATATGTTTTTGATAAGTTACAGCGGGAATTAGTTGCATGATGTAGAAAGAGATAAAAAGTAGTTTAAAAAATTCTTTGTATTATTTATTCTGTGCAATTATGCACACAATAAATAATAAAATAATCTGCTTTCGAATCTGACTTTTTTCCATTACGTAGTTTAAATAAATTAACTGATTTTTAACAAGACATATTTCACCTACAACTAGATGCAGGTACATTTATATTTACATTTCGTATAATTTGTTCATGTAACTTATTTATAGATCAGGGGTGTCCAACCTTTTTGTTTCTCTGGGCCACATTGGAAGAAGTCATGCAGTTTTGTGCAACAAGTACTGTATAATATATATACTTGTGGCACAAGTATATTTTGGCACAACCCTTAAATATACTTATATATTTTAGGATTAACATGTATAGATTACAGTAATAAGTATTAAAACTTTATTACAAAAAAGCATTTTTAAAAAATTTACTTCTACAGACTCTTTTAATTTATACTTAGAAATAGATAAATTCATTTATTATAAAAGAGACAAACGAAAATTTATTTGAAAAAGAATAATTGTTGTTTTATTTGTGTCTCTAATTAATAAAAAAAGACAAAAAACACCATTTTAAAGTGCATTTTTATTCGGCTAATATATTTATAAAAAATTTGTAGCTCAAAAAGTAGCCAATGCGCCAAATGATATTTTTTACTCCAAACTGATAAAAGGGTAGCCAAATTTGGCGCAAAGTAGCCAAATCTTGCAACGCTGGAAGGAATACTAAATAAAGCTGGAGTTGGGACTCAAAGGATTATAGACCCAAAAGGAAGAAAAAGAGAGAAAGGACAAAATTTTATATTGTTCTTTCTCTCCTTTCCCTGAATTTGAGTCTATACTCCTTTGAGTCACAACTCCAGCTTTATTTAGTATACCTTCCTCATTCACACATTTCCAAGTATTTGAAAATATTTCCTTTCAACTCAAAAATAAAATATGTATATAGGTTTACGGATTTTGAAACGTCTTTTTTGAGTGTATGTCGTTGAAATAAATAAATAAATAAATAAAATAAATTTGTCGGATTTATTTACACGTTTATTAGGCTGTATTGAAACTTGCCTTGGCTGCATGTGACCCGCAGGCCGTGAGTTGGACATTCCTGCTATAGATGATTCTAATGCGAAATTATTAAACAAATAATTTGTTATTACTTTATTTTCCATTTTGAGACTGTTATTTTAAACTAGTAGCAAATATATGTATTACTCTTATTAATTACTTCTAAATAATGTATTTAAATAATAATTGACTTTAGTCATTTTCACATTGTGTTTTTTTTATTAAACCAGTAAGTTATTACTATCAACGTAGAAGTTCTGAAATTAAATGGTATTTGCTAAAAAGAATTTAAATCTTATATGGAGATATAAATAATATAAGTTGATAAAATCAAATTTTTTTTCGTATAACATTTCAACAATTAATTCAAGCTCTTCTTAAACTTTCGCGTGAAGAAATGTATGAATATTTTACTTATTTCAAATCGAATGTAATGAATCTAAAAAATTTAAATAAATTATGTTAAATTATAAAAAGCGATGAAAACCTACAATCACTTTCTAAATCTTTGCATTTTGTTTGCTTTTTGACCATATAAAATTATCCTGGATTGACAAAAATGTATTATTTATACTTTATACTTATTGTTATGTAATTTAATCCGCAAACGCAAAACATGAACATACGAAATTTAAAATCAGTATAAATTTTGCTCTTTCACAGATTGACATCGGGTTTCTTTATTGTTTGAGAAAAAACATATATTTTTTAAAGCACAGGTTGGGGGAAGTTAATTACACGAATAGGGATAGTTTTAGTACGTTGCGACCACCTCCTACTATTAATGTGAAAGAGGTGCTAAATGTTTTATTACTTTGTTTTCAGAAGCTCTTTTCTTGCTTGTAATTCGATGATTTAACAATATGATTCTTTTATTTTACTCAGTAAAATGTTTTTTTTTTCAGATTTAAGAACTAATTATATTATATCTTATTACATTAATTTTATTTTTCATTTTTTATGCAAAATAGTCGCGAGTTATTTTTAAGTCGTTCACATTACTTCAAAAATCGATATCGCTTAAAATATTACAGAGTTCATCAAAACGTTTTCATGGTTGTCTACATAGGAATTTTTCTATATATAAGAAATGAAGCAATCGAAAATTGCATCATTTCTTATATAGAAAAATTGAAGGATGGGTCCTGAAAAAGTTTACAATTTACTAGATGATGTCGATTGCAAACATTGTTTTCTGTATAACTTAAAATATTTAAACGATAAATGTGAAAGTGTCTTTGTTACAATATCTGAATCACGTTTGAATGCAATCAATGAAAATTTCACAATTTGCACAATTTGAAATTTTTAAACATATTTTCCATGCACTGCGTCATCTGTGAAGTTGCACTGTGTCCAGTTTTGTTTGACGTTGCTGGAAAAGACCAAGAGGTAAATAAGTATATCAAACTTAAACTTGTTATAAAATTATCCCAGGTTTGCGGATTAACATTGGATTTGTTTGTAATACAGCACGTTCACTTTAATGTTCCATAAAAGTTTATTATTTCTCTGCAGTCATCGTTAGTACTATACGACTATCTCCCAGTGCGCGATTGAAAGACATACTAGATTCATCTATACTCTGCTTACGAATTAGTATAGTCTCAGAACTGCCTGGTTATTAATTTTCCGCGAAAACCCATACCTCTGGGCGATTTGTCATCAGAAACAAATCGGTGTAAAGAAACGTTACGGAATCGGTATATTCTTCGTTTTTATGCTGTAATTTTGCAATTTTTACTTTGATTAATGTGTTTATATTATTTACACGTAGCTTTTCATACCAAATAATGTAACGATTAATTAATTTGATTAGACGTCTTTTTTAATGTCCATTTTGGGAGAGATTCCTGTTACTTCTGGTGAAGTGATAGTAAAAGGGAAGATTGCTTATGCTTCTCAAGAGGCTTGGGTATTCAATGAAACTATCAGAGAAAATATCTTGTTTGGAGAAAAATATCAAGAAGAGAAATACAGAAAAGTTCTGCATATAACTGCTCTAGAAAAGGTAATACACTGTTTTTATCTAAATCTTTATTATACATAATAAATTACATACAGTATATCGATTATTTTAAAATTTTCACATGTAGGCCTATTGTAAAACAAAATGCAAATTTCTATATTTTTTTCCGGTGGACAATGGTATAAGTTGGAACATGTCAACCAGTCTGAGCAAATATTCAAACTAGATTTTTCCTAAACTATAGACTAATGATTACATTTAATGACACTTGTAATTAATAAACATATTTTAACGTTTACATAAATATCTGTTGGAGTTAAGTTTCGTGTGAAAACAGTTTTCAGTGCATATTATATTAAACATAATTAACTTGAATTTCATATCTACCAATTATAGGATATAAGTTTGTTTCCTAAAGGGGATCTAACTATTGTGGGGGAGAGAGGAGTGATAATGAGCGGTGGGCAGAAGGCAAGAATTAATCTAGCAAGGTAAATTAACTCTTACTCTACTTGTATGTTTCCGTAGTTTAATTACAGTACTACAACGTGAATAAAAAACACATATATACCCTAATTATTATGCCTTTGTGTCCTCTATCTTAATTTAAAATTTATCTTGTATACTAGTACAATATCAATTAACGGGACTTTTTATACTGGATTCATGGATGTTCAGGTAAATTAAATAAATAATATTATTTCTGATCTGTAAGACTAAGTTTTTGCTTCCATAAATCCAGTATAATAAGTCCTGTTAATTGACATGTACTAGTATACAAGATAAATTTTAAAACATATATACCCTATTCATAAATGTATTTTAATCAAATATCATTATTGCTTATATATATACATACTGTATATTGCTTTAAAATGTAATCAGTATACAGTGAAAGTATCATATCTGAAACACTAACATTAGTCTGTTTTAGTACTCTGTGAGATTTTCTGAATTTATATGTTTCAGTTGTACTTTACTGTGACTATTTTAATATTTACAATTCTCACCTTAAAATAGGTGAGAATTGTAAATATTTTAAAATTCAAAATAAAACATAATTATGTTTGAAAAACAGAATCTTTTCTGTAATATCAGATAATATGTTTAAAATTTTTATTTGATAAAACACTGTCAGAAAAATTACGTTATAATTGTGATACAGACATACTTAAACTTTAGTTATTGTTAAAATTATTTTACAGATATTTTTTCTCATTTCTCCACTTTCAGCTAATGAGAAGTCAGTCATTAACTTTTATTAAATGACAAACAAATATGATTCTGATTATTTTTTATGGTAAACAAAAAATTTATTCAAGTTTACAATTTTTACACCTCACTGCCATACAGTTTCATATAGATATAAAATCAAAGCAAATAAAAAGAAAAAAATAACTGACTACAGAGACAATACCATTAAAGTTAAATGCAGATTCTTCTGATTAAGCAATAACTTTTTGTTTCTTGAAGTGAAATTCATTTACCGTAATGTTAAATTTTATGTATTTTTAGAGCATTATATATGGATGCCGATATATTTCTCCTTGATGATCCACTAAGTGCTGTTGATGTTCCAGTGGCAAAACATATCTTCGAAAAGTAAGTATTTAACAATTCTCTATGTTATAGCTGAATACATTTTCACTGTTTATTCATTTCAGATGTATAATGGAATATTTAGATGAAAAGATTTGCATTTTAGTTACACACCAAGTACAATTTATAAACTCTGCAAGTAAAATTTTAGTAATAAATAAGGTGGGTAATGTAAATAAATATATTTTCTTCTTGGTAACACTAAATTTCGCAGAATGCCCTATATTCCAGAGTGAAATGCATGATAAAAATATGAAAAACTCCTTCAAGCCAAGTCCGTTGGTAAAAAGCAAACTACAGTAGAGCATCGATTATCCGACTCAATTGGGGACTGGGGTTGGTCGGATAATTGAAAAGTCAGATAACCGAAAAGTATGAAAAAATCCATTATTAGTGTAATATATTATTATGTGACCGCAGGGTCGGCACCTCTTTGGCGCCCTGTCAGGATGACACNATGTCAGCATTCCATTTTTTTTCCTGTAAAAATTATCTTAGGTGCATTTTAGTTTCACAAAAATAATCTTTTCTCTTGTTAAATAGCATTGAATTGCATTTTAGTAAGATGACTAAGTCTATCTGTTCATCATTTGGCACTTGCAGACCACTAGTGGTCTGCAAGTCCAGTTTGCTAATGTGACCGCAGGGTCGGCACCTCTTTGGCGCCCTGTCAGGATGACACCACTGTGTCTTGTAGTAGACACAGAAAAATTTTATTGGCCGTTTATTTGGTTACGCGAACGGTCGCGTTGTGGACTTCTAGTTCCGGGATGGAGGCATACCGAGAGAACCAGAGGAATTACACTCTAACTCATCTAGACGTAATACCCGTTTATTGTTCATACTATATACAATCGCAATAGCTATATATAATTGGGTTAATTAACATATGTAAGTTTTTTCGGTTACCCGTATTCCGGAGAGAGAGAGCTCACATATATTTCGCGCGAGGATAAATACCTTGGTTTGAATCGTTGATTAGTCTTGGGTTGAATCGTTGATTAGTCTTCACAAAGTTCTTTCGAACGTTGAAACGTTTTTCAAGTAGCACAAAGTTCTTCCTAACGTTGTTGGGCGTAGTCCTTTCGAACAGCGGCGATTAGATGAGTTCCTGGTAGCGACTTATCTGTTTTTGTAAAAAACACAGTGCGCACAAATTTCCAGAGACTGACTCTTATGTATCGACCCCTCCTTTTTATAAAGGGGGTCTCGTTGGGTTTTTTCCACTGCCTTATTAGGACTGTTCTTTTTTCTTTGACCAATAGTCTTTTTTCGAGATTTCGGGTGACACATTCGATGTATCATGCTTGACAAGGAACTAAGTTCGTGGGAAAAGATTTTTATGCTCGTTTTTTTTGGCAGTTTGAAGTTAAAATTTTTTCCATTTCCTCCCTTAACAAAAATTCTATTTAACGAATTTATTCACTAAACTCGACTGTCACACTGAACACTAAGTTAGTTAAATCTTTAGAATTTCCCAGATCGTGCTTTTCTTTCTTTCTTCTTTAGATTTGAAAATGTTTGTCAGAAGATAATTGCTGTGAAAATATTTATATATCAAGCTGGATTCATGAGCATTCATAAGACATGGCATGATANTCACACTGAACACTAAGTTAGTTAAATCTTTAGAATTTCCCAGATCGTGCTTTTCTTTCTTTCTTCTTTAGATTTGAAAATGTTTGTCAGAAGATAATTGCTGTGAAAATATTTATATATCAAGCTGGATTCATGAGCATTCATAAGACATGGCATGATATCTCAGATATTTAAAGTTACCTGAAACTAACAATATTTTTTATTTCATATTCAGAAAACACATTATAACATTTTGACAACAGAAAAAAAAAAACATGTAATAAGAGTGTATCTTGTGATTTTGCTAGTGTCTGCTTTCACTTTAATAGAGCCAATTGGAAAGCATTTATTAATGACAGTTTTTAGGATTATAAGTACTTATTTGTATTTTTNTGACAACAGAAAAAAAAACCATGTAATAAGAGTGTATCTTCTGATTTTGCTAGTGACTGCTTCCACTTTAATAGAGCCAATTGGAAAGCATTTATTAATGACAGTTTTTAGGATTATAAGTACTTATTTGTATTTTTAAAAAAAAGGAATTTAACCATTTTTAACGACCTTGATGAAGATGAAAATGATTATCGTCGAAAGCGCTTGTTGGTCTAGCGACATTTATTTGTAATTTAACGCCTATATGATAAAAGTTTCTCCTATTACCTTTTTTTTAATATAGCTGTACTCAACAGTATGACTCCTTCATGTTTGGGCAGTTATAGTGCAATAATTTTGTAATTGTGGCCATAAAATATTGGTTTGTCTTTGTTTTTCTCTGTCAGCTTCACACCTTACTGCATGTTTTACAGGTGTTTTTTTTTGTACACAAATATGTGTAAATCTGTTTGTTTACTTACACGTCCTTAATTATTTACATTTTTATATGGAAATTTGCAATTATTTTTTTTCAGTTGTCTTTAAAGCTTTCTCAACCTATATTAGCTGGTTTTCTAATTTGAACACATAATTGACCAATAATTCTAATAAAGTTGGGCCCACCAGTGGCCAAGTGGTTCTGTTTCCTGAACACTGGGAGATTAGTCAAGAGTTCATGTTCTGCCAGGACTGGCTGGCTATGTGGAGTCTTCTGGGTTTACTCCATGTCTGTAAATCCTGAATAGGGACCAGTTACCCTTAAAAAGAACTTATTAAGAGCCAAAACTCTGCTAACTTTTCCAGTACATTAAGAGAGCTATTAGATATCATTAGTAATTACGAAACTTTTTACAATATCATAATTGATGAGGCTTCATTCACAATGCATCTTAACAGGTGAGTAGTCATTACTTAGCATATGAGCCATTTGCAAATCTGATATGGACGATCAAATGATTCGTTCTGATGTTTATTGTAACAAATAATTAAGATTATATCAAACATTAAAATGTGTTTAATAGAAAAATCACATATGTATGTTGTAATTTCTCGGAAACAAACAAAGGCGTAGGAATGATGTTGGCTGTATCATGAGTGGTGTATGCTGTTTGAACTCATCTGTATATATTATGTTCTGTGATTTTTATTCATGTATTTTTATCATTAGAGATAGTATATCTGAGAAGGTTAATCTGATAAATTTGTTTATTAAATATCTGACTTCATTATTTCATGATGATGATGCAATTCGCTAGAATATGATAGCAACATCACAAGATAACTAAATTAAAAAATTTTAATTTTCAAAATACTTTATTTTTCCATTTAGACAGTATTTATTTAAAATACAGGAAATCCTCGTTAATTTGAACTATCAGAGTTTGAATCCCGGCCAGGGATGCAGAGATATACATGTTAAGGATCTCAGTTAGTTTGAAATATGGCTACTTCGTAATTTGAAATGAAAATTCTGTCGTAACTGTGACATGAGTATGCTAACTCATTCATTTATATCGAAGTGCCTCCATACTTTAAGAGAACAATAGACCAAGAACAACTCTAAACTGGTCAATATGGCTTTTTTTTTTACAGTAACATATTTTGGGTATCACCTTACTCGTGGATTGATTACCCTTTATTTTTCTTCTCATAAAATACGGCTGGTTTTCGGGATTGCAAGATTGACTATAAGTAGCAGATTGATATATTTGTAGCACTCTAGGCTACTACATTTGGGCCACTTTAAGAATAATTTGGACTACATTTCAAGGAATCTGCTTTATTTTTTCATAAAACCCATTTCGCAAACTGTGAGCTCATCATCAGATATGTGCTGTTTACCTTCACATTTATATTATTATTAATTAACGAAAATAGTGTTCTGTATACAAAGCTGTATTTCGTTTGCTTAAAAAATTACATTGGTTACACGAGTTTGCATTGTGCAGAAATATATAACTCTTGGATAATTCGAAACTGGTGATTCGAAGTTGCGATTAACTTGTCTTTTGAATTTCAACTAACAAGGATTTCCTGTATTAAACAAGACAATTTTTTAAAAGTGAAAATACATCAAATGATCTGATGGATTTTTATCTGGCCACATTAAGGCTAATAATAATCCAAAACAAGGCAATTTGAATTATTAATTAGCCTTAATATAGCCCAATAAATGTCAGGCAGATTGTTTGTTTGCTATTAATAATCTGTCAGGTTATTTATACATACATAATATACATATATCCAAATATTACTTTACTGTTTTTATTCTCCATCCCATTTTCAGTAAACACTAATCATTCTATTAATGGAAATAGCCGGGTACCGAGGGACAGCATGCAACATATTTAAGATAGACCACCCATGAAAAATTACTTGGTTGCTTGCACAGATTCGATCTCAGAACCCAGAGTAGTAGTAAATTCAAATAAATTTGAGTGAAACTTGGTTTTTATTTCAAATCAATTTTAGGTCTGATTGATGTAATGTAAACACACTCAAATGCTGGAACTATTGATTAAAAACACTTCACATGCTTTATACTTACTCCAGCATATAAAGTTTAATGAATGCACAAATGTTTACATCAACTTTAAGGAGCGTTCATTAGGCACGAGAGCCATTTTTGTACATCAAACCAGATAAAAAATATTTTAAAAATAAAACCAAACATTTCATACATACAATGATGCATTGTATGTATGGAATGTTTTGTTGTCAATGTTGTCTTTCCATGGTCTACATGCCCTATTGTTCCTACATTTATGTGCGGCTTCCCAAATGCTTCCACTACTGTTGCTGTAGATGTTGACATAATCATTACCGATAATGGCAGTAAAAGGAGCAAACAAAGCATTAGTGCCACTTAGCAGTCCAAGTAGAGTAGATATAACAGTTGGGGAAACAGTTTGGGTCTGGAAAAGCTTCTAATTTACTTTGTTTTATTTCAGATAAACAGAATCCTCCACCCAGGCCACCACCACCTTCTAACCGATCCGCTTATGACTCTCACGCTTCTGCGCCCGCTACGGCCACACCCGCAGTGATCAATCCTCCTTATCCGGTTCAGTCCACTCCATATCCGTACAGTGCCTACACTTATCCGATGCCAACCGTACAGATGCCGATGGCCTACAATCCTTATTCCCAACCGGTGATGCCATATCCTCAAGGTATGTACAAAAGATAAGTTGATATTTTGACATTTTTATACAAATGTAACATAATTTTATTTACAGGTTACCCAGCTCAGCCACAGCAGCAACCTCAATCTCAACCCCCACCTACACAGATGCCCAATTACCCTTATCCTTATCCCTATCCTCAGCAACAATGGCGTTGAAAAGTCTTCTTTTCTGTCGAAATTTAGCAGGTGTCTTTAGACGAGACCGCTTTGGGACCACGTGACGAATGTAATTGGAGCCTAGAGAGATTTTTCGGCAGCATTATTGTCATTAAAAAAGAATTTATGCCTCAGAATACCAAATGCCTACTCTGCCTCGTTCAGTCATTAAACTCACGTTAAGCTGTCCGAAAAGACGATTGCCACTTTTGACCTCAATATGTAATAAAGTTAAACAAAAAAAAACTTATAAAATATAAATTTAAAATGTAGAATAATGTGCACAGATTTGTAAAAAAAGAAACTAAGAAAAATAAAACTTGTTTTCTATACTTGATGATGGCAATAATTTACCATTAGTCCTTAAAGAAATCTTAATTTATTCTGCCAATTTTCTTACAAAAAATACTTTTTGTAGATTGTAACAAGAATTTCTTTGGAGAAGAATTTTTCTTAAATGAAGAAAATACTTTTATTAAAACAAAAATTTAGAAAAATAGACGTAAGTTGAATGTGACAATATGAAAAAGTAGCATAGTTTTTACTCAAATTATAATGCATAACAAGAAACACAAGGTATAGTGTTTCTAATTGAATAAGAGTATGATCGGTGTTATCTAAGCTGCATAGCACTTTATGGAATCGTGCAAATGCTTTTTATGTTCTGCACATACACTTGCAGGACATCCAAATATGATTCAAATGATTTCTATATGCAAGTGATTTGGGAGGAATCTGCAGTATTCCAGATGATAGTACGAGTGCTTAAGAAATCCGATATTTATTCATGTATTTTTGTTTATAATCAGAAAATTTACTCCATATTTTCAATTTTCCATATTATTGAGTGATACTGAAATGCACCTTGCAATGGGATGGAAAATTCGAGGAAATGTGTATGACATCTATTTATTTAGTATCTTAACCTTTCATCATTTGAGTACAGACAAATTTTCCTCTGAAAAAATGCTTTAGTTAACATTTTTAAATGCACAACAATACATACATTTTCTGCTGTATAAGTGAAAGTTTACTAGTTATACCTCATAACTCTTTCACATACAATTTTTAATTTAATGATCAATTAGAATCACTTTCAGATGTTATTCTCATGTTAGTTTTGTACCCCATCCATGTATAGCTTAGGAAATTTTGGCTATCTTGGTCCAATGATAGTTTTCAATACCTCTCACTGATATTGTGAAAAATTTAGTTGGAATATTTATTTTCCAAATTTTCAGTTTACTTACCATAGATAATGATAGCTTGATTTGTAAGTTAGTACAACTGACTTTTTTACTTAAAAGTTATAAATTTCAAATTGAACAGTTTGATATGAATTTTATCTTGCACCATTCTTGATTAGGGCCCGAGTATTGAGAATTCTAGTTTTTCAGTATTATCCCTATAATGTGTAAGAAATTATGCCTCGAGCATTGCAAAAGAGAGTATAGAAGAACTACAGTAATAATTCACTGAATTGAATTTTACTGGATAAAATGACCAATTATTAATGGATATGTATTAGCTTCCATATATATAAATATATATATTGTGCTGTTGAATTTCCATCAAATCTAAGGTCTAGAGATTTGGAAGATGTAATGATAAAGTAGTCATTACTAGTGTTGACCGTTGTTATAGTTGATTTCATTACAGTAGTTAAATTGCTAGCATTTTTGAAGACCATGAAGTGTATCCAATGTCCAATTAGGAGAGAAGCTAAAAATACTTTTCTACATGGGTTATTTTGGCTCCTCCCGAGTATTTAGGTAATTAGAGAAAAAATCAGTGAGGAGTCAACTATTCGAATGGATCGCCTTCAAAATAGTCATCAAGACACTTAATTCACGATTGTGCAACTTCTGGAAATATTTTGGGAGTTGCTGTCCTGAATTATTTCTTTAATCGTTGTAAATTGCACACGCAAACAATTAATTTAAACCTGGAAAATGAAACAGAAGGTTAAATCCGGTAAAGAATGACCACGATGATCATAAAAAACTGAAGTATTTCGAATGGAAAAAGCACGATTGTGTAGATGTTTTACTCGTTAGCAATCTGTTTTTACCTTGGGCCACTCCATTTTAGGTGTCTTAGACACGTGCAAATGTAATGCTTAGTCTGGCCTAATATTTAACATACAGTGTTAGCTAGGATGCTATGCATTGTATTTTATAAACTTACATAAAAAGAACCACTCTTGTCTAATACCTGTTACAATAAAAAAAAACTTTTTTACGCAATTTGATTAATCGAAGTCTCTCTCTGTCGGGTGTATTTCTTAACCAAACAATTCTGAATCTTTAACAATAAGAAAGTATGGATCTTTGCTACGTTTAGACGATGTCAAATCAGTTCGTAGTCCTTTTCAATGTTTAAACATAAATATATTCTCGTTCAAAGTATTCGATTGCTATAAATATGAAGTAATGAATATGAATCAGTTCGTTTTATTGAAAAAAAGTTAAGTAAATGTACCAGAAAGATCCACCCGAAAAAATTTCATAACATCAATTTGGTATTCAAAGTTTAGTATGGATTCATATGATTACTCGATTTTCAATTGAAATATCTTGTATTCCAAACAATTTAAACATAAATGAAAGTAACAATAGAAGTAAAAACATCTTAATAGCAGAAAAAAGAAAATTATTTTGTTCGATTAGGCGCCATTTTCGTTTAATTACTAAATAATGCGATTTTATATCGCTAGATGACGCGACGTGATTTCGTGACTTTTTCAGCCTTTTTACATTGTTTCCATTTAAAAAAAAGAAACAGTTTTTAGTAAAAAAAATTGTAATCAAAATTCTAAATTTTAATCGAATTTTAGTGTATTTTCAATTGTTTTCGATGGCTCTAACAATAAAGCAAATTGTCTTTCCACGTGGCTTCGAAGATTATGCACTTCATCTAGGAAGTGAATGTAACTGGATAACACAACAAAGATTATTACGATTAAAATTCTTTGTTATTTTTTATTTTACATATGTGTTAGTTGCATTATGCATACCCCTAAGCGTGGGTGGGGAATCATTCCGCATTCCATATACAATCCCTCCTCGGGGCTGGGCATGTCTGATGTGCAGGAGTTTTATGGCAAGAGGGATGAAGGGCATATCTAAATGCACCATTCTTTCTACAAATTTTGCATTTTTTTAAAGTAAAATTTAAGTTATTATTATACGAAATTACAAAATTTTAGTATTAGAAATTCTGTTAATTGCATAGAAAAGAATTAAATTGAGGGAATGTGTTTTAGGTGTGGTTGATTCTTCTGTCATTTTGCACGTCTTCAACTCGTAAAAATACGGTTTTTTACTGGGAAAAGATCATCGAGATAATTACTTTTAGTAATAGAAATGGTTTAAAATAAATTTATATAATCCTCCTGTTTCTGTAATGAAATTGTAAAGAATTTAATTATTTTTATGGAAATTTTATACATAATTAATTCTAAAATAAGATATATTTATTAATATTTGTTTGAGTAGAAACCCATTTTTATAGTAAACTCTTAAAAGAATAAAGAAATAAAGGCTATTTTAGTATCAGGTGTTTACTATATTGAGTCCACTGTATGTATGATAATTAAGTAATATCTATCATAATCTGTTAACTACTGTTCTATAAATTAATTCTATATTCGTTTAATATCTAAAATTACGTAATAAGAGTAATTTATATTAATTTAATTATATATTATTTGCTTTACTTTCACTTAAAAGTAGTGTACAAAGGGCATATAACAAAGTTATTTACCATTAGAAGTATATACGTTTCTACAATTAAATTTAGCCATTCAAGTTAAAATATTTATTAATTATAGACAAATATTCTTGAGAAACATAACCAGAATATAAATTAAACGCTACTCCTTAATTATACACTTGAATTGTGACTTAAACTCTTGCAACACCATTTATGTCTTCTATTACAACATTCCCCATGATGGATTTTAGTTAAAGAATATTCTATTTAAAACGTTAAATTATCGTTATATCTGACAACTTTACTCATAAATTAATCAAGTTATGGAGCCAATTTAGATGTTGCAATGACTCGAAAAAATATAAATAAAAATTTATATTATACCGGTAACAGATATACATATTATAGAGACTTACATTATTAAAAAAAAATATATTCATAAAATATCGTATATCTGAAGAGGACATCTTAATAATTTTTGCAGTATAATGCTAAATAGCCCGTCCGGAATTGACGCTTACATCAAAATAAATTTATAGAGACGTATCAAGGACGAGCAATGGATAAGAAGACAATGGCAAAAGGGAGGCCCACCCTCCACCACGTTAGACCAGTAGAGATTTGAAGCTTTCTGATTGGAGCCCTTTGGTTTTTTTTCCCAACCTCGTTGTACCCAGACACAGTCTGAATGGTTGATGAGAAGTACAGAGAGCAGATGCTTCTCAACCACACCTTTCAACGTAGATCCTCCACAACTCCAAGTCAAAACTTTAGCCGAGGGCTAATCGAATACGGTAAACCCATTATTATTATTAACATATTGTTAAAAT